TATAATATCGTTGAGGGGTACTTCGGAGGCCACTGTTATCGAGCACTCTTGAAAGTAGTGTCGCAGCTTCCGGGATGCCATGAACACCGCGTACGCTATCTTTTGATAATGTGGATACCGGGACTTGCATGGGGTTAAGACAGTGGATACGTAGTACACTGGTTTTTGAAGAGGGAATTTGTGTCCTTCTGCTTCTCGTTCGACGACGAGTGTTGCACTAACAACTTGATGTGTTGCCGCGATATATAATAACATTGGTTCGCCTAGGTTGGGCGCGGCCAAGACCGGATTTGTTGCTAGTATGGCCTTTATTTCTTTGAGTCCGGCCGTGGCAGCATTCGTCCACTCAAAGTGTTCGGTGCGCCGGAGGAGGCGGTAGAGAGGCAATGCCTTTTCTCCCAAACGGGAGATGAAGCGGCTTAAAGCCGCCATGCATCCAGTCAGTTTTTGTATTTGTTTGAGGTCTTTTGGGATATCCAGTTGTGACAGAGCTCAGATCTTGGCTGGGTTTGCTTGAATTCCTCTACCGAATACAATGAAGCCCAAGAGCTCTCCAGCTAGTACGCCGAAAACGCATTTTTTCGGGTTGAGCTTAATGTCATATGCTCGGAGATTGTCGAATGTGAGCCTCAAATCGTCTACTAGAGTTTCGACGTGTTTGGTCTTAACGACCACATCATCTACGTATGCCTCCACTGTTTTGCCGATCTGGGTAGCCAGACATGTCTGAATCATGCGCTGATATGTTGCGCCGGCGTTTTTAAGTCCGAAGGGCATTGTGTTGAATCAGAATGGTCTGTATGGAGTAATGAATGCCATTGCGGCCTGGTCTGTTTCCGCCATCTTGATTTGATGGTATCCGGAGTATGCATCGAGGAAACACAATGAATCGTGCCCCGCGGTAGCATCGATGATTTGGTCGATGCTGGGGAGGGGGAAAGGATCCTTTGGACAGGCCTTATTAAGGTCTTTAAAATCCACACAAAAGCGCCAGGATTTGTCCTTTTTGGTACCATTACCAGGTTTGTTAGCCAGTCCGGATGTTTTATATCTCTGATGAATCCGGCTTCTAATAGTTTGGCTAGCTCTTCTCCCATTGCCTGTCTTTTGGGTTCGGAAAATCGTCGAAGAGCCTGTTTGACTGGCTTGAATCCTTTTAGGATATTTAGGTTGTGCTCTGCCAGCCTGCGTGGGATTCCTGGCATATCTGAAGGGTGCCAGGCAAAAATGTCCCAATTTTCCCGAAGAAATTCTCGTAGTGCGGCTTCTACATCAGGGTTTAATTGTGCCCCAATGGAGGCCGTCTTTGTGGGGCCCGTTGGATGGACCTGGAATTTTACTATTTCGTCTGCTGGTTTAAAAGATGTGGACTTAGATCTCTTATCGAGTATCACATCGTCCCTATTCACCGTGGAGCGTAGTGCAGTGAGTTCTTCTACCGCTAGTGCTTCGGATAGTGCCTCTAGGGCTAGTGCGGCTGTCTTATTTTCAGCGCGGAGTGCTATGTCCGGATCACTGACCAGAGTGATGATTTCATTGGGCCCGGGCATTTTGAGCTTCATGTACCCGTAATGGGGTACGGCTTGGAAAATTGTGAATGCCTCTCGCCCTAATAGAGCGTGATATCCGCTGCTGAACGGGGTCACTTGGAACGTGACTTCCTCGGACCTGTAGTTGTCCGGCGAGCCGAACACCACATCTAGTGTGATTTTTCCTGTGCAGCGTACTTCCCGACTAGGGATTATTCCTCTAAAGGTTGTGTTGCTTCGCTCAATGCGACTCCAGTCTATTTCCATTTTTTGGAGGGTTTCCTCGTAGATGAGGTTTAATCCGCTGCCGCCATCCATGAGTACCTTGGTAAGACAAAAGCCGTCCACTATGGGGTTGAGGACCAATGCGGCTGGTGCTCGGGCTGTTCGGAATTTAGGCTCGTCGCTGGCATTGAAGGTGATAGCCGTGTCGCTCCATGGATTTGTTGTTGCTACTTGGTAGACTTTGGCGAGGCTGCGGATTGTTCGTTTCCGCATATTATTTGATGCGAAAGTCTCGAAGACTGTTGATACCGTACTGGTACTGTTGGGCTGGTTTTCCGGGGCTAGAAGCCCTTCGCCACTTTTGGCCACTTGCCGTAGTATCCAACATGTCTGGAGGCTATGTGTTGGAGTGGCGCCTTCTGCATTATAGATTTTGCAGGGTCCGCTAAGCCATCCCTCCAGTACGGTTCCGTACCCTTTAGGGGGTTTTTGCTTTTTTGTTTTTGACCCAGGTGCTTGAGCATGGTGCACCCTTTTATTCCGGACTAAGGTTGTGTTTAGGGCCGGATTGTCCCAAAATCTAGTTTCGGTTTTCCAGGCACTCTCCATCGCACAGTATTTTCGTACTATGGTCGCCAGGTCGGCGAAGCGCGTGACCTTGCGACGACTTATGGCGTTTATGATTCCCTTGTCCGTGCAATTATTGCAAAAAATAGAGATTGCGCTTTCCTCATGACAGTCCTTTATCATGTCCATAACCAGGAGGAATCTGGCCCAGTAATGATGTACTGTTTCATCGGGCTCTTGCCGTATTTGATATAGATCGCTTGTGTTTGGGTGGGCGGGTGGAACTAAATTCGGAACCCCGCCCAAACTGAGGCTCAAAGGCCGAGAAGTTTCCGGATTTGGAAGCTTGGATTGCTGGAGGTCGTCCAACGAATCTAGTCCGCTGCCTGACTTTAGGTTCAGTACTCGATTGACGTCCGTCCCTCCGCGGGAGTCCGGCATGGAGGGATCGGGAATCCGGACATAACTAGTTTTTAACATAGAAGAATAGTCGCCGCGTTGTTCTTCTACCACCGCAACATGGTGGGTAGCCTGGGGAGAGTTAATTTCTCTCAGATCGGTTTTAAGCCCAATCTGATCGTAGTCTGTAGCGACTCCCAGGGCGGCGATGCGATCCAAGAGCTCGTTTACGGAAGAGAGCTCCATCGGATCCAGCTGCTCGGCGAATTCCGAGTTGATGCGAAGATCGCTTTTGATGACCCGAGAGGTCATCGTCGAAGCGGTGGCCGAACAGGCGGTCATAAGAAAACCACCCAGCCGGATAGCTTGACCGACGGCCAAAGCTCCTTTGGCAATGGTACTGTCTTTGAAGACGGGAAGAGGCATCCTTCTTGATTGCGACGGCACAGAGGAACTCTCAATGAAAGCACCAATGTCGGTGTCAAAACCGGCGGATCTCGGATAGGGGGTCCCGAACTGTGCGTCTAGGCGGATGGTAACAGGAGACAAGGGACACGATGTTTTACCCAGGTTCGGGCCCTCTTGATGGAGGTAAAACCCTACGTCCTGCTTGATTGATATTGATGATGTGGGTATTACAAGAGTAGATCTACCACGAGATCAAGGAGGCTAAACCCTAGAAGCTAGCCTATGGTATTATTGTTGTTGTCCTACGGACTAAAACCATCCGGTTTATATAGACACCGGAGAGGGCTAGGGTTACATAGAGTCGATTAAAATGGTAGGAGATCTACATATCCGTATCGTCAAGCTTGCATTCCACGCCAAGGAAAGTCTCATCCGGACACGGGACGAAGTCTTCAATCTTGTATCTTCATAGTCTTGGAGTCCGGCCGATGATGATAGTTCGGCTATCCGGACACCCCCTAGTCCAGGACTCCCTCAACGATGGCGAAGTAGCAGCCTGCATTTCAAGAAATTTCTCAAGTCGTCGTGAGCGTCAGGCGGCCGTCGGGAAGCCCTGCTGTGGCGCCACCACCTTCTGCCGCCCCAAGCCCGACGACGAGTTGGTCGACGATGACGAAGTAGCAGCCAGCCAGCCTGACATTGGCTACGAGGTCAGCGTGAAGTATAGGATAATAGGGTTTTAGTTTTAGGTTTTTGATTCACCAGACGAAATATAGTCCGAGTTATATGTACAAATTATCGTACTTTCAATAAGATCCGCCATGTTTATATCAAAATTCACCGTGTTTGCACAAATTTCATTCGATTGGTTTGAGTTATTGTGAAAATGTATACGGCTAGCGTTGGATGTCGACCTCCCGCATCCATGCCCGCAGACTGCCCCCCGTCCGGGGACGGATGTAGGAGGTTTTTTGCGATTGCCGTTGAAGATGTTGCCCTTACTCCCTTCATTTCTAAATATAAGTCTTTCTAGAGATTTCAATAAAATATAAGTCTTTCTAGAGATTTCAATATGAACTACACACAGAAGTTGAAGATGTCTTTACTCCATCCATTTCTAAATATGTCTTTTTAGAGATTTCAATAAAATACAAGTCTAGAGATTTCAATATAAACTACACACAGATGTATATAGACGTAGTTCAGAGTGTAGATTCTCTCATTTTGCTCCGTATGTAGTTCATATTGAAATATAGTATCTAGAAAGACTTATACTCCTCTAGAAAGACTTATACTGCCTCCGTTCCTAAATACAAGTCTTTTTAGAGATTCCAACAAGTGACTACATACGGAACAAAATGAGTGAATCTATACTCTAAAATATATCTAAATACATCTGTATGTTGTACTAGTCCATTTGAAATGTCTAAAAAGACTTATATTTAGGAACGGAGGGAGTATTTAGTAACAGAAGGAGTACATAATATAGCAAAATCACAGCACAGAACTTGGTAGGAAAACTGACGCATTACACGACTCTTGTACCAGGTGCCTCACTTGCATAAAGTTACACAAAACCATGCTCCAGTAGCAAGCAGCTCGGGAGAACAGGGACCACAGTCTTATTTTTCAAGAACGAACTGTAGGTGTATTTCTGAAGCATCACAACCTCTCCATCTTACATGTAGATACTACTGACTGACTGGTAGTGGAATTACAAGCTACGACACTTTCTGAACTCAATAGCGTGCTGGGCAAAAAGTAGAGATGGCTGTACACATTTCTCTCTCGGAAACTTGCGGAAGAACCTCACTGAGCAAAGACATTTCTTCCTCTGAAGCGGTCTGTAGAAAAAGGAGCAAGGATTGTGCCTCACCGACCAGCTCTTGGTGCTGCAGGTAGAAGAGAGCAGTCAGATTTATCCAGTGATATTGAGTTGAACTACAACAAAAATAATAAGTTCCACTAGTCTGAAAAACAAGGTCAGAGGAGTTATGTGTACCTAGATTGACAACCTCGGAGCTTTTCATGAGACGAATGCGCTGGCAGGTCTCCACAAACATTCTGCACGTCAATAATAACAGATCAGTACCATATTAGAGCCAACCTCTTACAGAATCGTAATGAAGCCCGAAATCTAATAACAAGAACAAGCAACCAAATTCTTTTATATTTAGCACATGGTTATATGATAGTGGTAGATGCAGCAAAGTTCAACTTGTCAATTTCTTCTCAAACAGAAAGTTTGTTGACCCTCCTAATACAATAAGAGTACACTGTGGAAAATGAATTAAAGAGCGCACTCCTGTAAGTGAGGCACGGCTAATAGATACACAAGTCTGGAGGAAAAATGAGGCCAAAACTAGAGCTGGTAGGCACAATTCTCAATTATTGTCCACTTTCCCTAAGCCATTCAGTTCAAATTACACATGAAACAGCACAGGATGGTAAGAAGATCCATTTCCACAATCAGCACTTCTGTCTTCTGTGAGTTCGAAAGTAAGGAAAATGGCTTGCTGTCAGAAACAAACATCAGTGCTCCTCCACTAGTTTCAACCCTAATCATGCCCGAGAAACTGAACAGCTGAATTCACGCATGTGAAATTAATTTATGAGCATCATTCGCCGCCAATCATTTTACATCTCTTTTAAAAATTTCTGAGACTTCTGTTTAACTAGCAGGATCCACGACTCATACAAAATATACAGGCTAACTAAGAACAATTGGCATGGATTCTAAGTTAAACAGACAATAGCCAACTGATAACCCAAAAGGAACATCACATAGTAGTGAAAACCAGGAGCAATCTCGTGATCCCTTGGACAGTGTAAGAAATTTTCATGTTCAGCCACCGGGTCCGAGTTCCTTATATATCACTATCAAATCAACAACTCATTAAACCCAAATTAATCGTTTCTCAGGCAAAGATAAACTGAAACTAACAGCGTACGATCACCAAACCATCCAGATTTCTGAACCTGAGATGCTATAGCACCTGATCAGTTAGCGATTCAACCCACGACCCTAATTACGCAGTGTATATATGAACTTAAACAAAAGGACATAGCTGACGAGCAACACGAGATGCAGCGGCATGCGGATTTTAAATGTAAAATAGCACAAAAGGCCCAAGAAATTCACCTCCAGGGGACGTCTCCGACGAGCATCCAGTCGCCGTCCTTGTCCTCGTACGTCGGAACATATTCCGTCCCGCTCACCGCGTCCACGAGCTTCATCTCCTCGTTCCCAAGCTTTCCTGCATCCACAGTCAAATCGTCAGAACCACGAGAGAGCAACACGTAGCTAACACACAGATACAGGCATGGCATGTCGCGGCGGTGCACTCACGGACGGTGAGGTGGGAGATGAACTTGTCCTGGAGCGTGGCGAGGAGCTGGTCGTAGGAGGCAGAGCTTGTGTAGCCAGCGTAAGCCTTGAGGTCGACCTTGCGCAGGTAGGGCGCGCCGTCGACGGCCACCTTGACGAACTTGGTCTTGGACGAGGCCGCGGCCGCGAGGGCGTTCTTCCGGAACGACCGCACCGGTGGCCAGCCCACCACCTGCGCCCTGCACAGCGAGACCATGTCAGCTCAAAAAGCATGGGCGCCAAATTTCAGACGGAAGGAACGAGAGAAGGCAGGCACGCGCGCGTACTTGGGGGAAGGGGGAGAGTCGGAGGCGGCGGCGGTCGGGGAGGGGCAGTCGGGGTCGGAGGTGGAGGCGCGCTTGCGGTCGGGGTCGGAGCCGGGGAGGCGGAGGGTGAGGGCGGTGTCCTCGAAGTCGAGGCCCGAGGCGGCGGAGGACTCCGTGGAGCTCCGCTCCGTCTCCACCGACATGGCCGGCAGCTGCAGCCGCGCAAGAGGAGGAGGAGTTGGTGTTGGTGCGGTGGGCTCGGTTTGTCGTCTGGCTCTCCGGTCGGTCACAGGCGGCGGCTCTGCGAGGTGGGGCGGAGAGGGGAGGAGGTTATAGGTGGGTGCGGTCACCGGTCTACCGGTCGTCGAGGGGGGTTTAATTACGTGTCGGCCATTGGCGCTCTGACACTCGGAGCTCTGCTCGTGACCTTGGGTTTTACCCGCAATTTCTTGTCGCGATGCCAGTCCCCGCCGATATTTGCATTCCAGTCCAACACAGATCAACTTTGCTCCATCCCGCCGAGTCGTGGGGGTCCATAACGTAAATTCGCACCTCCTTGGATTTCTCTCATCGCAATCCCCATTCCCACGGGGATTTTTTCTTCTTCTTGTATGTACTAAAAAAACAAACAGAGAAATCGGGTCATCATCGTCCTTGTCCATGCATCCATCCAGCGGTGGGGTGGTGCAGCATTAACGTTCGTGCCGCCCGTTTTTCCATGCGTGGGCCCGGGCTGCCGGTTGGCCACCCTGCAGGTCCACTCGGCGCCGCCGCACCGCCCGATCCCTATCCGACGGTCCGGCGCCCTGCATAGCTGATCCGGCGAAGGCGTGTACCAGCGGCGAAAGCGTATGGGAGGGGGGACAAGGCGATAAAGCCGGGAGCACGTGGGTGTCGCCGGGCTGTCGGCGACGTGTCCCCCACCCGCCCGGTTTTACCTAATTAAATTCCAGCATCTCGCCTTTGCTTTCGCTTTCCATTCGGCCCTGCCGCTGCCGGAATCGAATCGGCTTCCCTCCTCTGCCCTCGCCCGCACGCTTTGCGCGAGAGCGACGCCGTCCACCCTCCGCCTCCAGCTAGTACCAACCTCGACTCCTCTCTTTCCTTTTCTCTTTTACCTGTGGGACCCAGTGCTTTGGCCTTGTCTGTACTAGTACGTATAGTGGTTACCTTCGCCGATTTTACAGCGTGTCAGTGGTAAGATTTATCTATTGTTCATTGTTTTTTGAAAAATACTACACCAACCATCTACTCTCTCTTTTTGTCAAAACAAAAACGCTTTCTACTAAACTAACCAAGCTCCATGGAAAACCGAACTTTGGAATGAAGTGACACGCATGTGATACCATCAAGCCATATCACAGGCCAAGGTGCATGCACGTAAAAGCCACCGGGAATGCCGTTGAGGCGTTCAAATGCAGTGCCCCGACATATTTGCACGCATCACATGGCGCACGACGGTGATCGGAGTACAAGAGCGAGAGCGGCTATCCTATCGAAGCGCCTCCATCCAGTGCACCGGAAAAGAAAAGCAACGCCTTTTTTTCCTTTGCCTTCCTGCGTCTCTGGGAACGAGTAGCGCTGGTCACCTTGTCCGCTAGGCGCCGCATGGCCGGCCGGCGCAGGGTGTGTGATCCGGGGGCCGGGCGAGTGGTGTTCGTTCACCAGGTTCCTGGCATTGCTTGTCTGCTTCCTCTCAAAGCCAACACAGCAAGGCAACAGCAAGACCACTCGAGTGGCCTCCTCCTGACACAAAGCAAAAGCAGCACCTTCGGCTAGCTATACCACTTTCACTTTATGTAGTACAGTACGAAATAAGATTGCCGGGAGTGGAAGGGAACACAACGAGACCACTCTATTTTAGCTCCACGATGAACACAAGACGTGCATTTATCCCAACAATAATTTGTGTAAAATCTCGGTTGATTGAGCATTGCCAATTCCTTATTTAATCACTCAAACGGCAGCTACAACGCGTTCGCATAATCACTTTTAGCCCGGAGATCAGAAGAGGCTATTATCTGAACTCCGCTCGATTCAACGGCCGCAGGGACAAGGCCTGACGGGTTTCCGGGCTAGGTAGGCTTTCCGTTGTGCACGGAAGCGGCCTACACCACAGAACACGCCAACTTGTTGCCTACAGTTGTGTACGTACGACTTACACTGCCGCGCATCTGCATCGTCTGCGTCGGGCGGATCGGCTGCAGCAGCATAGCATGATGCCAAGATTTTCCGCGTGGGGAGGAAGGAAAGGAGACAAGTGCATGCAAGGCCGTCCACAGCTAGGGGATCCTGTCCTGTCTGGTTCAACCACGGCAACAACCCAAAGCCCAGCACACAAAATACAGGGATTTTACTAAACCAGTTTCGTCTAAACACGTTTTCAGTTACAACAAACTAAAACTCTGTTTGATTGACGTACTCCCTCCGTTCCAAAATATAGCGTGCCCACGCTTTTCGAGGTTCAACTTTGACCATAAATTTAACCCACGAGACCGACTGCGGCGGGATCAAAAATTATATAATTAAAAACTTTTTTTGAATACGAATTCATTGGTATAATTTTTTCGCCCGTCGCAGTCGGTCTTGTTGATTAAATTAAAGGTCAAAGTTGAAGCACGGAAACCGAGGACGCGCTATATTTTGGAACGGAGGGAGTAACAAATCCATGGATAAGTAAATCTTAGCTTTCGTAAAACTGAAAAAATAAGTTTATGGAAAAACGACAATTAGACGTTTTTCTATAAACCAATTCATCATCCGCAGTCTGCGACCTGCATATAGCGCAGCGGGCATGCACGTTACCATCGCCGTCGCAACAACTCATCCCGCTTTGCCCGTGGCCATTTCCGGCGACCACTCCTCCCGCGCCGCCGCCGGCCGCTGCTGTCGCTGTCGACGACTGGCCCTTCTCCAGCGACAACTAATCCCGCGTTCCTGGACGCGGCCGTCACCATCGTCGGACTGGTCGTTCCCCGGTGAGCACTCATTCCACGTTGCCGGCGGCCGTGCCATCACAGACGACTAGTCGACCACTGGTTCTTTCCAAGCACGCACTCCTCCAACGTCCTCCTCGCTGATGGCAGACTCTTATCAATCTGATCTTGAGTTTTTGTGCGGCCACAACAGATCCCTTGTACGCTAGTTCTTGTTCTTCAATGATTGGTCATTCTCATTACTTTCACACAAGTGCATTTTTTAGCAAACGATTCACGTTCACGAGAATCCAGATTGGTTTTAGTACTTGAATCTCAAGGCCACAACGTTGCATCTCCATCAGTTCTCACCTTCACCGCTGCAAAAAGAACCATCCCGACGATGATGTCGCCCAAACCGGCCACCTGCATTGCTACGCTTATATTGCCGCGAGCAAATGATGGACCCATCCAGGCATTCAGATGGACATGCGAGAACAAGGCGTCGACGGTGCAACCCTCGTGCTTAAACATGTTTTATCATCCAAAGAAGGTTTTGTGCATGCTTTTTTCTAACCGAATTGTTAGTAAAACTAGTTTTCCAAAAAATCCAATTAAAATGTGTTTTGTTAAAACTAGGTGTTAATTTCGTTTATCCAAACAACCACAAAGTGTGCAGACAGACGTGCATGGGGGATCTGCTCAAACCAAGGACTGTACACACCCGCTCTTCTTCTATGTGATAAAAAGTAAAGCACGGCGTTTGAGATAAAAATAAATCGTCGCAAGAGACACTTGGCTTAGGCTAACTCCAATGCTAGACCCCAAATCGTTAGGCCAACTTAAGCGCACGACCCCAAACGAACGTCCCTTTTGTCCGGATTCTGTCCGTTTGGGTAGGGCAATGGGGTCGTGTCCGGGCCATTTCTCGGATGCAGTGGTTGTGCGCCCAACGCACGGACGCATCTCGGCCGCATCCTGTCCGCGTACATTTTCTTTGCAAGCCCATAAATTTTTTTCATCATTGATTTTTGATACTCCCTCCGTTCCAAAATATAAGGTGTATTGGTTTCCGTGCAAGTCTACCATTTGAAATTTTGACCAAGATTATAGAACAATAGAAACATGTGCAATACCTAATAGATAAAATATGAAACTACCTTCCGTGATCGATCAAATGATATAAATTTTATATTGTGGATATTGATATATTTTTCTAAAAACTTGGTCAAACATGCATTCGTTTGACTTTTGAAAATGCACATTATATAAAGGAACGGAGGGAGTACATGGGAATACATCACCAATTTTTGACTAGAAAAGTAAGACTAAAGTGTTGGCGTTCTGGATATGGGGTACCCAGACTTGCCTGCCTGCGGCTCATGGCGTGGCTTCATCGGCGGTCTGGTATAGCCCAGCTTCAACATCAACAAACTATGACCCTCGCGAGGCGGACGACACCATGACCTCCAAGGGATCGGCCTCCTCGGGCTGGCTCCCGAAGAGCGGAGATTTTTATACAAGATGCACCTCGTGAGGCTCAGCTGATGTGAGCCATGACGACCAAGGCCAGGCGGGCGCCAGCGGGCGCAGTGTACTTGTTTCCTCTTTGGTGCAAAGGAGACAAGCGGCAAGCACGGAGTCCCGAGGAATCAACCAAAGGTTATCATTCTGGTGCAACAAGACCAAGACTGCCAAGACGGCAGGACGGAGGTCATCGCCGAGCCCACCGCATCGTCACGACCAGAGGCTTTTGCAGGCGAAGACCATTTTAGTCAGGATAGGATGTACTTGTTGTCTTCCTTCAAATCTGGTCGTTGTGTGATCCCTTCCCGCCAACATTTGGGAAGAGGACCGAGGCCACTATAAATAGGACCTAGCCACCACCATGGGGAGGAAGTCGAGTCCACAGAAGATAGAGGGATAGGATAGAATCCATTCCACCCTCTCCAGCTCACCCGAGCTCAAGAACACGCCTCTTGAGAGTGTTCACCACTGTACTAGTTCTTCCTCCACCCCTCGAGGCAAATCCACCACAAAGCAGGAGTAGGATTTTACACCGCAAGGTGGCCCAAACTTGGGTAAACTGTTGTGTCTTTCTTTCCCTTCGAGCTCGACGCGCTAGGTTGTGAGGTTTCGCGAGTGGCAGACTGGGTAGGTTGAGATTTCCGCGCGCCAGGTAGGGGTGCGTCGGAGATCCGCCGCTTCGTCCGCCACATCCCGCCACCGGCTCCGATGGCAGGCGCTCCTCCGCCGACTGGGCCATCGCGCACCTTTGGGGGAGCCATGGGCCTCCGTGCTTTCGCCCCCACCTTGCGACAGGTGGAGTGGCCACCCCAAGTTCAGGCCGGAGATGCCGCCTCGCTACGACGGTGCGGCGGATCTGGCTAGCTTCCTCCAGGCATACGAGGAGGCAGTTTGGGCAGCCGGTGGAGACGACAAGGTGATGGCCAACTGGCTCCCCATGGCCCTCGTAGGCGCGCCGCGCGCCTGGCTGCTCAACATGTCGGAGTATTCTGTGGCCTCCTGGGAGGAGCTGCACGACCTCTTCATCGCGCACTTCGCGGCGCCGGCACCTCCCGCCGTTGCAGCTCTCCTCGGTGGCTCGCAGGTGCCACCCTCCGACCGCCACATCAAGCAGTTCTACCGCCAAGTAAGCGCCGCCCAGGTGCACTCGGGGGCTCCCCCGGGCTGGGCGGCGCCCAAGGCTGACCTCAGCTTCGGCCCAGAAGATCACCCAGCTACCG